GTAGCATTAAAAATAAACAAAAATAGAGTTTAAAATATTAAGAATATCAAACTTGAATATAGGGATGGGTACCGGTATCCGATGCCATCGTGGCACCGGATACCGGTTACTGCAGCTTACTGATTCACTAAAAGATCTTGAATCTTCTCAGTATTATTGACATGGAACTGACACGTGATGCACTGACCAGGGCAGAATTACAGATGAAGGGTTTGCACTGTGCAAAGCAGCTGATGAGCCACATTTAGCCCTCTCCACCTCAGCCTCTCATTAGCACATACAGCTCATCTCACAGTTACTGTGTGATACCTGTTATTTTTATCTGAGGTTTTAGATTTTGTCACAGCAGCTGATGAAAGGAAGCAAGGTTGGTTATATCTGACCAAATCTGCACTTCATGTCCTGTGGCTAAACTCACCACCAAGCTGTTATTATACATATTAATGGATACATCACTTTACCTGTAAATAATAAATAATGAAGTATTTGAGTAAATGTACTCAGTTACATCCCACAGGTGGTTCTGTTCATGCCTGAAGGGGGCCAATCATATTTTGAGGGGCTTGTGGTGCCGCACAGTGTAGCAGCACCTCAGATTTTACATGTTGTTTTATTTCCTGATGCATGCTCAATCATCCAGGTAAGTAAATCTCCAAAAGTTGATTCTGTTCATCTGGACGTAGCGTTTTATAAAGATGAACAGAATCAACTTTTGGAGATATTGTTTGACTAAAACAACACTAACACAATGTTTCCTGTTAGAAATAAAGGTAACTAATACTCCAACTATAAGTTTAATTTCCACCAGTGTTGCTTACCTTCTTTGAAACCCTGACTTCATTTTTCACGGAGCCATCCTACCATCATCATCTGGCTAAGAGCGCGTGCACCTTGGACCAAACCAAAACAGGAAATAAAAAGGTGGATGCGAGGTCAGACAGTCAGAGAGACTTTATTTATCCCCAAGGGGCAATTAAGATAGACGTACATACAATACACAAACATGACATTGGGGAGACAGGCCAGGCTAGGTAGTACTGGCAGCGACCTGGTCGGAAGAGGATTGGATTTTATTCTTTATTACCAAAAATAAAAACTGATGCTAGCAAACAAACATGTTGTTTGTGAAGCAAACATACAGCGATAAGCTTAAAAAAAAGAGTAATTCACTTTTGTTTTGTTTGTTTAGGGTTCCTAGACCATTAGGTCTGACATTCATCTCATATATTCTGTGGTTACTCTTCAGTGGGACTTTAAAAACTTTTAAATCTGAATCATTATTTCAGGAAAAGCGGTTAATAACATTTGAATAATTTGATTTGAATAAAACTATGATCATCAGGCTGGGAATACATATTAGCTGAGCAAAAAAAAGTTCTTGAAAAGGTTTTTAAAAGTCACACCAACATGAATTCTGTCATCCCCGTCTGCATTCTCACTCTCACGTTATCTCTGGGAGTGTGTGTGTCTTGAACCTGGCTGAGTTATGAAGTCACCTGAATCTGTCACACCCTTGTGCTAAACCTGGGTGTGTGCCACAAGGGTGTGTCAGTGTCAGACAGTGAATCTGTCACACCCTTGTGCTGAACTTCCGAGTTCAGGAGTAATGTTGTGTAATGAACTTCCAAGTTCATCACATCACCTGAATCTGTCACACCCTTGTGCTAAACCTGGCTGTATTTGTGTGTGACCTGTGATGTGATACACTCTTTGTAGTTTTTGGCATCTCACTCCTTGCTTTGGCCGCACTTACTGTTTCTGTAGGTTATAAGTTTTATAAGATAAAATCAGCTTTTCTGCAAATAAATATCTGAGACTTGAATGTTTGATTATGTTTGTGTCAAGTTTTCATGTCTTCTAGAAGGTCTCTTTGCTTCTTCTCCTGAAATCTGAAGTACATAAATAAATAAAAAAGCTTGTAAAAACAAAAATCAGTCAGGTGGAAATTTGGAAAAACTGATCTAAGAAAGAAATCGGAAAATTTTACTTTCAAGCTAGAAATCAGTGTGACGGCCTGACACCGTTGCTTTGGTCGAGCTGGAGGCAGCCACACCTGCCGCTTGTCACCCACAGCCAGCTGTAGTGGATTACTCTCATCAGGAGCAACCTGTTTAAGAGTTTGGCTGAGCCCCAGGCAGTGTAGCATTCTTGAGTTAAACCTGTTGTTCACTTATATGCATGAATGAGTAAAGCGCTTGCTTCCAATTGTGGATTACCTGCTGAGCTATGTATTTGTGTGTTTTTGTGTCACCAGGAGTCGGGAGAGGAATGTCTCATCACGGAGAGAAGTCACGGGTTAGAATTGGGGTTTTGAAGTTGCCATCTTTTGCTTTCAGGAATATTTGCACTGTGTGGGATTCATGGAGATATTGCCACGGGAGCCTACGTTTTGAATAGAGATGGCACGATACCACTCCTTTATGTCCGATACTGATGTCATAAATTTGGATATCTGCCAATAAGATATGAATCCGATTTAGTGTATTTTATAATCAATAAAACTTGTTTAAAAAATATCTTGCTGCATTTCGTATAAGTTCATACTCCATTCTAAACACAAAAGCTATTATGTTAAACCTGTATGCAACAAATACAATGCACACAAAATATTTCATAGTTCAGCAATACTGATCAACTCCCAGCAAAAAAAAAAAAAATGCTTTCAGTGTGACGTAACCGCATTCATATTCTAACCCAAACACACACACAGGCACTAGCATTAATGAATGACTCATAAGAAGGGCGGCGCACAGAGGCTGTCGTAAGTAAGGCATTAGCAGATAAAAAGCGAGTCAGCTACTGTGCGGCTCACTTTGCTGCCCACTGACAAGATGACACGTTTTTCGGTCTCTACGCTCATTCCTCTTCTTTTTATCAGCGGCGTTTCTGGGAAACTGATTCAAGCCGCTGCAGGAGACGATGTAACGTTTCCCCTCACAGAGGAGTGCATGAAAGGAAGAGGCACGCTGAAACGTCGCCTGCAGGACAACAGCCTCCATTCGGTCGGGGATCTCGACGGCAGCTGGAAGCCGGCTCCAGGTTATATTAGCAGGTTTTTCCAAAGCAGCGACTCTGTGATACTGACAAGTGCAGATATCAGTGATGAAGGCTATTACGAGTTTGACTGCAACAACAAGAAAGAAGAGAGTGCACAGCTGCAGGTATTCATACCTTCTGATGTTTTTGTACACGAGGGCGAGGATGCCATCCTCCCGTGCCGCTCCATCACAGCAGGTCAGTGGGTGAAGTCTGTGCGCTGGAGGAGAGATGGAGAGGTGGTGCTGGATGTCCGGTCGGGGAAAACCACATATGGAAAAAGCTTTGATGAAAGCCGGGTCTCAATACCATCAGACTGGGACCAACGAGCAAACCTGTCCCTCATCATAAAGCGAGCCGAGGCGAGAGACGGAGGAGTTTATTACTGTGACATCGACAAAGTGGAGAAACACCGCTCCGCTGTCCGCCTGCACGTCTCCACACCACCAACACCACCGAGCACCACATCCCAGCCTACAACCACAGAGAGGGTAAGAACACAGACTGCATTTAAATGGTTGACATTTGACAGTAAGCATTAAAAGTCCACTCAGTTACTCTTCCGCATGCAAAATCCCACATTCAGAGACACACAGTGCAGATAACAGCCCAGATCAGCAAGCACACAGACAACAGTGACAACAAATGTAGTTAGTCACTGCTGAGCTACTAGAAGGTTGTAAAGTGGAAGGTTGTAAAGTGCAATGCAGGTGCACAGATCTACTAAGGCGGGCAGGGGGTGGTGGGGGGGAGACACTGTAGGAATGAGGTAATATAGGTTATGAGGGTAGCCGGGTCCCTGTAATTTAGTGGAAGCTTTAGCAGAGCCTCACAGTCCACGTCATAACAGACGCCAGTTAAAACTGCTAACTAATATTTCTGCTCTGTCTTCTTGTCCTCTGCAGCCATCAGAGTGCTCCGACTGGTCATGGAGCACTTTCTCCATAACGGCAGCTGTATTTGTGATCGTTGCCCTGCTTGTTTGGCTCTGCTGGTTTCTGAGGAACAGGATATTCAATGTGCGCTCTCGAGGTTTTCTCTGCAACGGCACAGAGGAGGGAGGAGGAGGGGCTGAAGAGGGCAGACGGGAACTCTTACTTTAACCACCACTGATGAATGAAAAACAACAACAGCTCATCACCTTTAAGTATTTGAACTCGCCACCTTTATGACGGCACCACTGTGCAACTCCACTGTCTCAGGTTTAGAAATCCTCCGTTTTCCTTCTGCTCAGGCTGACTGCTGTTACAATGTTTGAGATTGTCTCTATTTTTTTGCGTTTGTCTTCCAATCAATGAAGTAATGCCTGTAAATCATCTGCTTACATAATCAATGTATAATTTAGCTTCAAGATGGATGAATGAGATCTCTTCAGTAACAGAATCAGAATCGTGTTTATTGGCCAAGTATATGTGCAGACACATACAGGGAATTTGTATATTGTCCTGCCTGTTTGTACAGATTTATTCTTTACTGTGTTTACTTTGCTTTTTGTAAAAAGCTCAGGGAAGCTGCTGTGTGCCAATAAAGTTTTAAGTGGATAATAAAGTGACCTGATGATGATTACAGTCATGATTTTATTAATTTTGCACATTAAATGACTTCAAATGTTTGATGGAATAAAGACTGAAAACCTTTAACAAAATCACATTAACATACAATTAATATACAACAAAGTAAGGAGCATTAATCTGCTGCCATAATCCCAGTTAAACCTGAAGCTTCATCTAAACTCAGCAGGTGTTTCTCTGCAGTCGGCTCTGTTATCCTGACAAAACTGTTTCCAGACAGAAAGGCTGCAGGTATTTGTGTGAAATAAAGACAGCGAGGGAAAAATTCACACCAAAGACATTTGAATAAATAACAAGTGAGAGAAAACAATGAATCCTTCATTGTTTGTTTGTCTGCCGTGACGTCTATGAATAACTCTTTTGCACTAGCAAAAAGAAGGGAGAGGCTGCCATCCCGAGCCAAGAAACTTTCAGGCTGATCGCTTTACAAACTCGTGAATCCTGTGATGTGACATTGTTCATCCTGTCACAGCCTCTTGCCATCCCTCTCATATGTCATTAGCCCTCACTCTTCTGAAGTCGTGTAAACACAAGGTTTATCAGAGCAAAGAGGTGAACGGCGCTGTTTTAAAACATGGTAATTTAAAAAAATATATCTACAGGAGATTTTAAAAAAGGGAGAATTAATACATTTTCATCTGATCCCAGTTTTGATAAGTAGGGGAGACCGGGGATAGTTGTAACATTTTTGACATTTCTGTCTGTAAATTGGAGCTCTTTTAAGGTAGTGGATTCAAAATGTAATGCAAAGTATTTACATGTCTCGGCTATTAAATAGTGCAGCTATTTTCTCTGCAGCACAATTACCCATTGCATGGTATGGCCTCAAACACAAAGAGTGAAATGTTACAATTAACCCCATAGTCTGGGTTAGTTGTAACATATCCTGGGGTGAAATGTAACACAATGAAATAAGGGTACTAACAAAATATTAACATGTAATCTTTGTTTATTCAACACATGAATGCACTTAGAGCCATTTATGTAGCTGTGTGTGTGTGGTGTGTGTGTGTGTGTGTGTGTGTGTGTGCTGTGTGTGACAGAATGCAGAAATCTAGCTTTTGAACATATTCCAACCCCCCAAAAAAGACAAATTATGGAATTTTCTGCAACTGAATATTTCATTAATTTTGGTTGGTCTTCCTTGAGTTTGGCCTCATTGGCTCAGTGGGCATTATAACCTACAACTCTTGCACCAATTTTGAACATAACAATGAAGCTGAAAAAATGTAGTTGTTCACCAGCATCGCAATTCCATTACTTTTTATCCTGGCTTACCTTGGTGTGGTTTGCAAAGTGCTTCAGAAAGATGAGGAAATCTGTTTCTTGCACCCATCCTGATTTATTTCCACTACCAGTACTTCCTACTGGTCCATCTCTGACACAGTGGTCTGCATAATGTATGTGTGGGAACACAAACAGTGGAGGAATTGTGTTGCCAATGGCATTAACCGCATATACAAATGCGACCAGTGAACCTCTCTCTGCTGATGTCGTTGCCCCAACTTGTTTAATATAAGTTAAAGTAATAGTGTGGTAAGTTGTAACATCTGCATTATTGTTACAACTAACCCAGACTGTTGCTGTTACAACTGACCCAGACTCCTATAGCCATGAACTAGCTAACATTACAGCCAACGGCTAAAACATTAGCACTAAAGACCTACACAGAATATATCCCCATAGACATACAAATAACATAATTTAAGTTTGATGAGTTTAACTGCAAAGCAGATAATGCTATTAGAAATTGAAATAAAGTAGAAAAACTTACTTTTTGGCATACAAATTACTTTTTTTCGTGTTAAATTGTCTGTGTTTGACAAAATGTGCTGATTTTTCACATGTGATAGCAGAACTGAGTTGGGCAT